CTTGCTTTCCAGTGAGTGCATTTTAAACATGCTTCATTTCTTATACAGTTTAAGCGTGGGAAAAGACTCCGTGTTTCACTCTTCTTATTGTTTGAGCATTCTAACATGCCAGATTGAATCAAATTTTCATGGCTAATTGACTTTCTGATGGTTCCAGGGTGCTGGTTATCAGGATGTGTAGATGTGCAAATGCCCTTGCTACAGTATGCAACTATTAGAGCATAAAGTCACTTGTTCAGTTTCGATCTTTGTACAGGCTGCATTCTTTTTCACCACCTTTTTTGTTTACAATTTTTCAGATCTTGCAAATAAAGCCTGAGGAAGTGTTGATTGAATCCACTGGTGTGATCAGAGAATAAAGAGGGTGCAAACCCTTTTTGTGTTTTTGCCTTGAACATGTGCATCCTATTTATATGCTTTTTTGTCATGGTGACCTATTAATGCCATTTAAGTGAACTTTGGTGATATCTTTTGACCAGACTGATAATACAATCCATGGATCATAATGTCATATGCAGGAAGCACTTTTGAGTTCACTCCCAAGGCTAGTTAATTCGCTATCACCGTCTGTTCAGGGGTACTACTTTATGCTTATTCTTTATTTATTTTGGTGGTTTACATACTTATGTAAAGGACTAGAGACATGGATGTGATGAAATTGCTATGATGTTATTTTTCCTTTGTTGGTAAATTACAATAGAACATGAGGCCTAATGCTTAGTTGAGCAGGAAGTAACTTGCATATCTGCAAATATTTCCAAAATTACAATTACCACATGGTATTTCTATAAATATTCTAAGAAGTGAGATTCGAATGAGGAGAGAACATAAGTTTTGTTCGAATTGCTTGCTGAAAAAGCAGCCTAATTTTATAGGCTGAGAATTACAAAGTTTAACTAGATATTTTTTCCTACCTTTGTCTCCTAAAAGTTGATCTTATCTTCTAAGAAGATAAGTCTTAATCATAAATACAAGTAAATTACAATTAGAACTTGTGATAAACAAAAACTCATTTTCTAACAGCTTTTAAATTACAACAGCTTTCCACACTCACCCTCAAGCTAGGTGTATATGTTGTACAAACCCAGCTTAGCTTTGAGTCCTTTAAAGCTCGTTCTTGGAAGAGCTTTGGTAAGAATATCTGTAAGCTGGTATTGAGTAGGTATAGTTTTAGTTCTGCAGTCCCATTGTTGACCTTTTCTGAAATAAAGTCTGTTAATCTCCACATAATTTGTTTGGTCATGATGAACATGATTTTTAGCAATGCTTATGGTTGATTGATTGTCACATTGTATCTTGAAGTGATCCTTTGGATCAATCTTTTAACTTTTTAATAGTTTTTGAATCCATATCTCTTCACAAATTCATGAAGCAAGTGCTCAAAATCAGCCTCCGCACTACTTCTTGAGACTACGAATTGCTTTTTGCTTCTCCATGTGATTAGATTGCCCCAGTAAATACTCCAACAAAGTTTGCATCACTGATACTTCTACGTCACAGTTTTCGCTCTTTTTAAAGGGTAATCTGTGTCTTGGAGTCATTTTTAGGTATCTTAGGATCGGTTAACAACCTCTACATGTTTTTCAAGTGGATCGTTCATATGTTGGGCCAATGCTTACTAATATGAAATGTCTGGTCTTATATGTGAGAGATACATCAACTTGCCGACTACCTTTGGTATTGCTCTTTGTTAACCGGAACTCCTTACTCTTCCTTCATTTTGAATGGATCCATGGAGTTTCTGTTGGTTTTACCAAAGCACACGTCTAGTTTACAATCCTAGAACATGCTTCTCTGAGAGATCACAATTCTTGTTCTGGACCGAGCCACCTCCATCCCTAGAAAGTACTTGAGAGCATCAAGGTCTTTGATTTTGAAGTCAGCAGCAAGCAACCCTTTTAGCTTGATTATTTGTTTGTGTCATCTTCTGTTATAATAATATCATCACCATAGATAATAAGAATGGTCTTATTACCTTTTGAGGAAGTTTTCTAGAACAAGGTATGATCAACTTGACTCTGATTGTATCTATAAGTAACCACTGCTTTGGTAAACTTGTCAAACTGTTTTAAGATCATAGAGAAATTTCAACTTGCATACTTTGTCACCATTTGACTGACTTTGCCTGGAGGTGTCTCCATGTACACATTGTCAAGATCCCTATTTAAAAATGTATTCTTGATATAAAAGCCACTCTTCGTTTACTGCTAATGACAATAGTACTCGAACCGTGTTTAGTTTAGTGACATGAGCAAATGTCTCTTGATAATTTATCCCATATGATTGAGTGAACCCTTTTTCCAATAGTCTCATTTTGAACCTTTCAATACTTCCATTTGCATCCCACCGTTTTCTTCCCTTAAGGTAGTTCTATGATAGTCTGAGTATTATTATTTTCTAACGCTTTAATTTCGTGTTCAACTGCCTTTTTCCATACTAGAATCTTCAGGGCTTCCTAAATTGATTTCAGAGTCCGTATACCATCAAGTGATGTAGTGAATGCTTTATAATTTCAAAGCAGTTTTTTCATAGTATACATATCTTTAAATAAGATGATTAGTACATTTCGTATTCCTTTTCTCTGAGAAATGAACAGTTCTAAGTTATCTCCAAAAGGAATAAGTGAATAATTAGGTGAAGATTCCATACTATTAGCTTTTAAATTGCGACAGCTTTCCACAACTACAAAGTGTGCATAACCATTTGTGGTCTCATTGTGGTTGTTCAGGGCAGATTCTGCTGCAGTGGCAATTACCACAACCGACCTGGTTAGCAAGAGTGTGGCTATTGAATATGAGGTAAGTAATAGTTTTAAAGGGATAACAATTTAATATCTATAATCGTATACTTTTGCTTCTCAGAAACCAAAATATTTTCCATTTTATATGGTAGCATTGTCTCAGAGCCATAGAACTTGAAGGTTTCTTATGAATCTAGTATTTCTTTAAATGCATCTGATGGCCATGTATGACTAATTATTTTCTAAGGTTGGAGGGACAACTATAAGAATTGGGGGAATGGCAAAAGGTTCTGGGATGATCCACCCTAACATGGCAACCACACTCGGTGTAAGTCTTTCAAGTGTTTCTAGCTTTTCTATAGGATATAACTCCAATTCTATTTTCAAGGCTGATAAGTCTCTCAGGTAATAACAACTGGCGTGCTTGTTGAAAGTAATATATGGAGAAAGATGGTTAAGGTTTCTGTAAGCCAAAGTTTCAACCAAATCACTGTATGTAATTTAATTTCTTTAATCCTCCCTGTAACTTATTTCAACTAGGTAACATCTTAGTTAATGATCTCCTTTCTTCCATGGCTTGGCTTAATCTGTTTCTACTTGTTTTTAACAAGGTTCTTTTGTTCTTTCTTCTGTAGGTTGATGGAGGTACCAGTACCAATGATGCTGTCATTGCTTTGGCCAGTGGGTTTGCTGGATCAAATTGCATCACTTCGATGAACACTTACGATGCTGCACTACTTCAAGCAGGTCTTGATGCTGTAAGTTGGTTGCATTCGAGCTTTTCATTCATCCTATCTAGTTTAAAATAGGTTTGTTAAATGTTGAATGAACAAATAGTATCCTTTGTGCAAACCTCCCAATTTATCCATACAACAAACTACTTAAGAGTTTTGGTTGCATTTTTTGGAATGATGTCTCTTGGGTTAGTTTTTTTATCTTGGCCAATGTTTGAAATGAGTTGCTTGAGGTTTTAATTTAACGCATCTCATCTCAGGTAATGCAAGGTCTTGCTAAATCAATAGCTTGGGATGGAGAAGGTTCAACGTGTTTAATTGAGGTCTGCACTCTTCAATTCTGTATTCTCTCTATTTTCGGACCAACGGAAGTATCTTTCTTACCGAATGAACCCTGATGCTAAGCCACTTTAACTAATATCTTGTTCTGATATTATAGGGTAATGCATTTAAATTTAGGCAAGAAAATCTCCTGGGTGGTCTATTTGTGTTTTCCCCTTATTACGGGGTCCTTGAATGGTCTTAGCCAAAGCTAACCTAGAGATGCAGGTCACAGTAAGAGGTGCCAAAGGAGACGCTGAAGCTGCAAAGATTGCTCACTCTGTGGCTGCTTCTTCACTTGTGAAGGTATGAAATTTGAACATAAAATCCAACAGTTAATCATAGGATTGCTAATATAAATTATGTCAGGCCGCCGTATATGGGAGAGACCCGAACTGGGGGTGTATGGCTACTGCTGCTGGCTGTGCAGGGATTTCTTTGACCCAAACAATCTCCAGATATTTCTTGGAGATATCATGCTCATGTATGCTGGAAAACCAATTTTATTTGACCGGTAAAGTTTGCTCTTGCTTGCTGTCGACCTCTCCTTCCAATGCTTAACAACATAAGATGACATGCTAGAAAGAAGTCAGAGGACACATTTTGAGTTCAGTTGTTAAATCATATGTACATTATGCACTTAGCTAGTGATTAAGGAGAAAATACACGTTATTTAGTGGGGTTAGGAAGTGATCTTGTAAATAAATTCAAAACCTTATCATACCTAATCTATAGTTTCCGCATATAATTTCAGGCTTGCAGCCAGCATCTATCTCATTAAGGCTGGTGAGACACATGGAACGGTGGAAATTAAAATTTCTGTTGGTAAGTTTCTCCAAATTTGACTCATAACATGCCCTTAATCCTGTATTCATCTTTATCATTTTAATGTTTGTATTGAACTGCAACAGGGAACGGACTCGGATAAGGTGCAGCATTGGGGTGTGACTTAAATTATGACTATGTCAAGGTAAATGCTGAATATACGGCATAAAAGACTCGTGGCGGCCTGCTCCGATGCCTTTGATCGTTCAGTATGTTTAACAGTACTTTTACTAGAACTGCAATAAAAAACTGCATTTCCTCCATCTATGTTCATCCACACAAGGGAAGCATGATGGAAGGAATAAACTAGGAATCAACTTTCAATTTCTTCAAGTGGTTCTATTCTCAAAGCACAGATTTGTTGCCGAAAATGAACAATCAGTTTGCAGAAATATATGTTTCAGGTCTTCTCATTAAAGAGGTACTGGTAATATATTTACAAAGCAGTCTTTTGCTGGCTAACAAAACTTTCAAACCCACACTATTATCACAAACCATTACATAATTGCATTCAAGTAAATTGTTCCAATGACCATGATAGAGAGAGCTGAAAAGAGCTTTATTTATCTACAAGGACTGCTAAAAGCAAAGGGAGACATACTCATAGTGCCTCCGCCACAGAGTAGTGCATGTTGGTTGGTGAGTTTTTCAGAAAACTACTCCCACAGTGAGGGTCGGGACTGCCAACGTTGAAACCATCAAGGCTGATTGAGGAGTTGGCTAATCTATCCAGATGAACCTCCGGCGGAGGTTTATAACTCCTATCAGAACTCCCACCACCCCCACGGCATTTGTTGTCTTTACCACCGCCACTACCTCGTCCTGCATTGTTGCCCTTCTGCCCTTTCTTTCCATTTTTCTTCTTGTCATTCTTCTTCTTCTTTGATTTTTGCTGCTTTCTGTTTCCAACTGTATGCAATACGGACGTTGGTGGAGGATCGTAGACGTCAGGTGCCCATTTAACGGTTAGCTTCTTCGGTGGCAATCCCTGTTTCTCACGGCTACCTTTAAGGGCAGAAACTAGCTTCAAGGGAGCCTGTTAACAGCACGGATTCAGGAAATGAAACAACAATGGATCTACTTAAACTCAATGTGTAACAAACCAAACTCACGGGCAAAGAAATCGAACGGGAGTAAGTCTGCACGGAATCCTCCGAGAACATCCGTTGCAATGCAGTGACAATTTCATCATCTTCAGTAAGAACAGCGGAAGGAAACGATGCAGACTTGGCTAAATTCTTTCGCAGAGGTTTGCTTTGATATCCCTGTTCAAGCAACTCTTTCACATTACTCGTATTAGTATTTTCATGAATCGATCCGTGAACGCATTCATTCAAGTAAGTAGAAACCTCAGCCTGCTTCATGTCACTGATACCATCTTCCTCTCGAGAGCCCATATCCATTTCCAATATCAACAAATAAAACAAGTCCTAGCTTCAATCAAAGAACAACAACCATCGGCACGTTTGTAAACTTTCTAAACTATAATATCACAGATAGTGCATGAGAAAACCAAAACTTGAATCGGATCCCATTAGATTTATTAACAAAACTAAGAATCCAGCTAAATGTTTTCATAATATAATTAAGATGAACTCAGATCTGAAGCACTACAACAAATGAAGTAAATACAGATTAAAATTTCTCAAGAATCTTATTTATGACTAATCCTAAGGATTTAAAAAACCATCACATATCCATAGTATTGTAATCATATAAAACAAAGACAATGATCAAACTTTGAACAAGAAATCAGCTAGATACCATTTCACCACCCGTGCGGGCAGCACGAGCTAAGCGGATAATGATAATATACCTTTATTTAGAAAGCTTCTGAAAGTGCAATCAAATTCAAAAATCTTAAGAAACCTCTGAGAAAAGCAACACCAATTCAAGATCGAATACCTCAAGTGTTTTTTTTCCGGATCGGACGATTACAACCTCAAAAAAAACAGGAGAATCTGAATGAAGACAGAAAAGAGAGGCGAGAAGATAGAGAAGTCAAAATGATTGGATGTGGGAAATGTTAACTAAGATTACCACGCCGATCACTCTTTTCAAGATGTTTCAAGCGATGGGAACATAAACCAGCATGAAAAGGAGTTAAAGAATGGATTAGCAGGAGAAAAACCGATCCGAGAGGAAACGAGGGCATATTATCGTTTTATGCTCTTCGAAACCCCCCAATTTTCGAGAATAAAACCCTATTTCCCCCCTTTTATTTGCTTCGAATCTGTGAAGATTTAAAAGCAGAACCCTGATGCGAAAAAAATGGTGAAGAGTGAAAAGATGAAGGAAGGTGGACAGATGAAGGAAGCAGGTTGGATAAAAGATCGGAAGGGAAGAATCTTGTGACAGTGAGAATGGATATGACGGTATTTGAAACGGAATCAGGAACGAACACGTTTCATCATGGTTTTGTCATCTTACCTTTGTTCTTGTCTGACATTCAGATATTTTTGTTCTTGTCTATGATGATCATTTATGCACCGTTGATCTTGATTGCTTTTATGTCAACTGATTATCCGAACTGACGTAGCATTTGCTTAACATAATCTGGGGTCCACTATTTAGAACTTATCCAATCTGGGTTTTTTCAAACGGAAATTTAGGAGTAATTTGTATTGGTCAAATATAAATTTTGGTATTTGAGTTTTGCCTCAAGTTCAATTTAGGTATCAAATAGAATATTAAGTTTTTCATCGAACGCTCACACCCTTAATATTTTTTGTGTTAGAATCCGAGACTTCAAGAAACAATAACAATTCGTTTATCACTGAGGTCACTTGATTCGTGTTATCTATTTTTATTCTATTAGCATTAATACTAAATGTCGGGTTAAATTTTGTTTCACAAACCAATTCGACATCAAGCACAATCAATAATGACTAATTTATCTTTAAATTAAACAAATAAAATTCATTATATGAGAATCAAACAAATAGCCTATATGTTTTGCATGCAAACCATTTATCACTACACATAAACATTTGTTAGTTTTGTTATACGAGTAAAACGTGTATGGAAAACATGTTTTCAAAAGATGTAAAATAGAGGATTTTATTGTACATCAAACATATTTTGATAAGCATGCGTTATAATAATTATTTGTAGCATTGATATTCATCGAGCTTTATAAGCTCACTCTTCCTTTTCAAATTTTATAAAGGAAAAAAAAAAACTTACAAAGGATTGGAAAAGCGAACTGTGGTGATCAAACAAGGTTAAGTGTTCAAGTAAAAATAATTTCATAAACTCTCAAAAAATGATTAAAAGAAGGTAAACTATGTGAATAGTTTATTTTTTTCCGGTTTGACCAACATTGATACCAATTTTAAAATTAAAGGTCCATGACCGATAACGTTATCAATACGTTCGATTTTAATCCTTCCGACGTTAACTCTTTAACGGAAATATTATGTGGAAATTACTTGCAACCTGCAGTTAAACATTTTCTACAACTTTCTCACGCTTTTCAGGAAAAATCCATGAACCCTAAACTATATTATATACAATAAATACACGTGTACATAAATAAATACATGTTGAGGGTGCAATACAAGTTGGCAACCTAAGGAGCATATGAAGCTGATATTTTCAAAGTTACTAACACAAACAGTATCGAGAGAAGATATCGTTTCCGACACGTATTATGTATTTGCTTCACTTCATCAATGGAGACGCCGATCATGGTATGCTGACTTGTGAGTTATTAAGGTTGGCGACAAGATGTGGAATTTCCGATGCATATGGCGAGATAGGATCTACGCGAAACCTGTTTTCTCTAAAGAGTGGCCTGAATTCGTGTATGCCAAGCATCTTAAAATCTACGATGTAGTAGTTTTGTATGTTGAGAAAGATGTTGGTGAAGCTGTTGTTACATCCTTCATGCTTAACGAAACAAAAGAATTATCTAAAACATTATCAGCCTCTTCTAATTGTCTATGTAGACATCATTTTTTTCATTTAAATTTTATTATTATTATTAAATTTATTATTACTAAATATTATTATTATTATTATTATTATTATTATTAATATATATATATATATATATATTACAAGCCCAAAGGACCCGGAGGCCCGTTTTACAAATCTAGAGGCCCGGTTATCAAATCCCAAGCCCAAATGGAAACCCTGAATTGATTTGGGGTTTCAGCTAGGGTTTTCAAACCCTAGCCCCCAGCCACCGTCAACATCATCAGTCGTTGGATCTGGCAAGATCCAACGGCCCAAAAGGGTTCCAGATTGAAAACCCTAGGGTTTCTAACCCTAGCAGCCAGCCGTTTCCAGATGCTTCCAGCCGCCTCTGATGATTCCAGGTGGTCCAACAGCTGCTGCCGACACTCCTGAACGTCACGAAGCAACCCACGTCGAGCCCTATGGTGAGTCACCACCATAGCTATGGTGACTCACCAGGCCTTTTATCCTTTGGACCGGTCTGAAGCCATCACCGGGTGGTGGCTATAAAAGCCACCGTCCCCTGCAAGAAAAAAAGAGGAGGAAGCCACGAGAGAAGAGATAGACAGAGAACGAGAGACGAACAGAACGGGAAACAAGCAACAGAGACGAGCAACAGAGACGAGCCACGAACTCACAACCAGCAGTAAACCAAAACAGAAATGAAGAGAAGAAGAGGAACTTACCCTTGAAGCCTCGCTCATTGCCGGAAATACCGAGGGTCACCGGAGTCTCATTTTTCGAAGGTAAAAAAATTAGATCTACATCGATCTAAAGAGATTTAGGGAAAAATGATACTAGAACCGTCATTAGGGTGTTCAGATCTATCTTCTGGGGGGTTTTGTAAATTTCCGGCCACCATTAACGGTGGCCGGCGGCGGCGATCGCCACCAGAGAACGGTGGCCCATGGTCGCCGGGATTCTCTCCGTTGAGAGAGTTAGAGAGAATTTTTAATTCTCTCATTTGTTGAGAGAAGAGAGAAAGAAGATAGTGAGGAAGATGGCCTGAATGGCCGGCCATTCGGGGTATTTAAACCCCTCCCCGAACGACGTCGTTTTGGGGGAGGGGTGTTCGTGTAATTTCCATCATGGGTAAACCATTTCCGCATTCACTATAGTTTGTAATCCTTACGATTTAGTCACTGAAATAAAATTTCAAATGTTTTAAATTAGTTTCTTAATTTTACTTTATTATAATTTAGTCCTTTACATAGAATATAATATTAGGTAAAATAACATTTAGTCCTATAATTATAATTAGTTTTATTTTAATCCCGAATGCATGTTTAATTTGGCATTCGAATTTAAGATAATTTTATTTTAGTCACTAAATTTATAATAGGCAAAATAACATGCTTAGCCCCTACAATATTACATAATTAATTGTGAATTAAATCATTTAATTTTAGTATGTTATAATTTAGTCATTTTTCATTTTTTTAATTTTTATATTTTGCTACTATAATTTCAATATTATTTATTTTAGCCACTCTTTATTTATATTGTAATTTTTGTTTATTTGAAATATATTTAATTATTATTGTTAAGTATTATTATTTAATTCATATAAATATATATTAAGTAGTATTTATTTATTTATTTTATATCTTACATATATAAATTATATATTAATCTATTTATCATTATCATTTTTATAAAAATATTTTTATATATATTTTTTTAAATATCGAAGAAAAGAACTGTCTTAAAACACCTAGAAGCCCTTTTCTGATATTTCTAAATAAGTAAATATCTTACTTTTATAAATTATATGTATCAATCTATTTTTTTTTTATTTTTAGAAAAATGTTTTTATATTTATTCATTTTTTAATATTGAAGAAAAGAGCTGTCTTAAAACACCTAGAAGCCCTTTTCTGATATTTCTAAATAAATAAATATTTTATTTATATATATAAATTAATAGATTTTCTTAAAAAAAATTTGAAATAACAAGATTATTAATTAAATATATTTTTGAACTTTTAATTTTCTAATAATAGAGACAATTTATAATTAATAAAGTACCAATTTTGGGCGTTGTAGGGGTGCTATTCCTTCCCTAAACGTAACCGACCACGAATCCCTTTTTATTTCTAAAAAGAATGAATTTTCGGTTAAAACGCAGATCAGTTTATCTTTTAACTGATGTTTTCTTAAAAACTCTTTTAAAAGATAATTTTTAGGTAATCGACCTACCTGACCCAAAAGGTCGATGGCGACTCCCAAATCATTTATTCACATTATTTTCCCGTCGAGTATTTAAAATTCGTGCCCGGACGAAAACCGGTTACGACAGCTTGGCGACTCCGCTGGGGATAGTCAATCTTTTAAAATCAATTATAAATTGTCTCTATTAATTATAAATTAAAAATTCATATATTTAATTTTTAATTCTTTATTTTCAAAATTTTTATATATACTTATTATTTTCATAGTATTTATATATTTTCTTATTAATATTTCATTTTATTTGCAAATATTTTATTTCATTATTTATTTTTTTCTGTTAGAGGTTTGAACATTTCTCCTCACACACAACACTTGCATTGCATAACATAAAGCTCTATAATTGAGTTTGTCCCTTTTAAGTGGGAGTGAAAGCGACGTCTTCGTGAGAATTTATTCTCCGTGTCAGACCTAGCAAGTAACTTTCGGGGTTCATATGCTCTATGTCTTCGTGAGAATTTATCCTCCGTGTCAGGTATAGAGAAATGTATCCCCTCAAATTGAACTTAATCCGCTTAAGTCTGTAATGGACTAGGATTGAGGGTTGACAGCCCAAGGGGGCATCAACAAGGACAGTTCGAGTACCTTTACTCCTAGAACTGAAAACCTGCATATAATAAACCCTAGAAACTCTCCCGATCTAAAACCATGCCGAAATTTTGTCAGTAGGTATGCACAAAGGAGAAATAAACTCTAGCTTTTAATTTATTTCTTTTTCCTGAATAAATGCATGCGAACTAGAAATCATGCAGTTAGGTTAATTTTTCCAAACAAAGCATGGAACTAGAAAGCATGAGGTTAAGATTTATACA